CTATATATATGCTAAGGTCTGATTGTAATTGATACACATTGAATATATGAGATACAGAAAGCTATTCAGAAATCTTACATGGTATTAGAGCTTTGTTCGAAACCCTAAGTCCACGCCTGTTGTTCGAAGTTGTCGTCGATTGTTCGAAGTCGTCTCTGTTCTTTGGTCTTCTTCACAGTCGCGACTTAGGGTTCGTGGGTCTCTCTGGTTCGTGGGTCGCGTCTTCAGTCATCATCAGAAACTCGAGATCAGCTTCAGCCCGTGCTTCGTCGCAACTCAGTTCTGGTCCGTCTGGTTCGCGAACTCAGTCCCTCTGGTTCGCGAACGTCATCACCATGCTTTTGATTCAGGTCGCGATCGTCTTCCGCCGTCGTCCACAGCCATTGCGACTCACCTCACAATCGTCTTCAGCCATTGCGACTTCGTCCTGTCTTTTGAATCTTCTCTGGTTCGTGATCTGTCGTTAGACTCGTGAAGTTGAGTCGCTGCCATTGCTAGACTCGCGAGATTAGGTCATAACGACATCAAGCTGCCTTTTCTCTCTGTTTCGACTGGTGCTTGTCTCTCTGTTTCGACTGGTCCAGTTCTCTCTCTCTCTCTCACTGTTATTTGATTATCTGGTGGTATAAATATATACGTCTCATATAAACTCTGTTTTATTAAAATAAAAAAAAAATAAAAAAATAGACTCTTCTTTGGCCACTCAGTTATATGTTATTGCATTTTAACCCTACAAAATTTTGGGTACACTTGAACCCCTTAGTTTTTTAATTATTATGATGTCTCTGGCTTCGAATGAATGTGTCTACTGCCATCAAAGAGGTCATTGGAAGTATCATTGTCCCAAAAAGGGATGTTTGTCTGCTTTGTCTGTGTTTGCCTCGTCTTCTCAGCAATTGCCGATTAAGTTCTGCGCTCCTCCTCTGAGTACCGTTCGACCTCCCACCGATTCTACTGTATCTACTTCGGCTCCTGATCCTGACTTAGCTTCCTTAACTGCTCAGATTAGTTAGTTTTAACATACATTGTGTACCTCCCAGCCATCTATGTCTGCCTCCATTGTTTCCCCTCTTCATTCAGGTTTGCTTGGGTCTTCTTCAGGTATTTCTTCGTCTGTCTGGCTTTTTGACTCTGACGCCTCTCATCATATGACTCCCCATCTCTCCTTACTTCAAAATTGAACTCCTCCTCCTTTTCCTATTACTGTCAATGCTGTTAATGGGTCTGGTATGTCTGTTATATCTTTTGGGTCTGTCCTACCGTCTGCTATGTCTACCGTCTCTATTCCATCTGTTCTTTATGTTCCTCAATTATCTGTCAGTTTATTATCTATCAGTCAACTTGACGCCTCTGGCTTTGATGTTATCTTTTCCTCTTCTATCTTTTCTGTGCAGGATCGGATGTCTAAACAGCAGATTGGAACTGGTCGTAGAGTTGGGGACCTCTATGTGGTAGAGAGCTTGCATCTACCTTTGACAACCTCTCCAACTGCCTTTTTCTCTTTTCAGTTAGATTCTCTGTCCAGTCCTTTCTACTTGTGGCATTCTAAATTAGGGCATTTGTCTGCTGACCGCTTACGGTCTTTGGCTCAATCAGGTATCTTGGAAAAAGTTTCTCATAGTGAACTTACTGAATGTCAGGGGTGTAAACTCGCCAAGATAACAGTCTTACCTTTTCGTAAAAGCACTTTTATATCTGATATACCATTTTCTTTAGTTCATACTGATGTTTAGGGCCCTTCTCCTGTTCTCACCAAAGGAGGTTCTGCATACTATGTGTCATTTGTTGATGACTGCACCCGTTACACTTGGGTTTATCTTATGACTCATAAGTCCGATTTCTATCAGATATACTGTACCTTTCAATCTATGATTACTACACAGTGTGGGTCTACTATTAAAGTGTTACGGTCTGACTTGGATGGAGAATATTTTAAAACTGAGTTTTGTAAGTATTTGGCCAATTTGGGTACCATTCACCAAACTTCCTATACAGATACACCTGCCCAAAATGGTCGCGCTGAGCGTAAACACCGTCATCTCCTTGAGACAGCTAGGTCTCTTCTTCTCTCTGCCTCAGTTCCGGCTCCATTCTGGGGGAAGGCAGTTCTTACTGCTGCTTTTCTTCTCAATCGCATGCCTACTCCCATTCTTTCTGGTCGGTCTCCTTATGAGGCTTTGTTCTCCTAACTTCCTAACTACTCCCTCCTTTGTGTGTTTGGGTCTGCCTATTTTGTCCTTCTTTCCTGAAAAGATAGGACCAAACTTAGTGCCTAGTCTGTTCTCTATGTCTTTTTGAGTTATAGTCCTACTCAGAAAGGCTATCGGTGTTACGACCCTGTTTCCCATCGTCTTTATGTCTCCCGTGATGTTTCTTTTCTCGAACGTCTGCCTTACTTTCAGCTTCCTCCTGTCACTGCTCCAGTTTCCAAAGAGGATTTGGTTCACATTGACCCATTTCCTTCTGAGGTACCGTCTGATGAGTACATCTCCACAGTTCCTTATGAGCTTGTTTCATTTTCTCCTCCTGCTTCACCTCTGGCTACTTCTCCTCCTTCAGTCTATTCTCTTCCTCCGTTGTTAGTTTATTCTCGTCGCAAGGCTCATCCTCCACCAGTTGTCTCTACCCCTACTGTTGATCCTCTTGCTGCTGCCAACTCTGATCCTGCTGCACACTGATATCCTACTCGAGCGCGTCATCCTCCAAACAGGTTAGGTTGGTCTAATACATGTTTTGCTACTTCCTATCGTACTTTTTTGTCTATTATTCACTCTTTTTCAGAACCTTAGTCTTACAAAGAGGCATGTCAGGACCCTCATTGGGTTCACGCTATGGAAGATGAGTTGTCTGCTCTACAGAAAACTAGTACTTGGGAGCTGGTTCCTTTGCCTGCTGGTAAGAACTTGGTTGGTTGCAAATGGGTCTACAAAGTCAAGACTCATTTTGATGGGTCTCTTGAGTACTACAAAGCTCGTCTAGTTGCCAAAGGTTTCTCTCTGGAATATGGTATTGATTATGATGAAATATTTGCTCATGTTGCCAAGACGACTACTGTCCGTACTTTGATCTCCGTCGCTGCTATTCGTTCTTGACCTTTTTATCAGATAGATGTTAAGAATGATTTTCTTAATGGCCATCTCACTGAGGAGGTTTACATGCATCCTCCTCTTAGTCTTCCCCATTCCTCTGGCCAAGTTTGTCATCTTCGGCATGCTCTGTATGGTCTGAAGCAGTCTCATCGTGCTTGGTATGATCGCTTTCAGACTGCTGTTACCGAGCTTGGATGAGTTGTCTGCTCTACAGAAAACTAGTACTTGGGAGCTGGTTCCTTTGCCTGCTGGTAAGAACTTGGTTGGTTACAAATGGGTCTACAAAGTCAAGACTCATTTTGATGGGTCTCTTGAGCACTACAAAGCTCGTCTAGTTGCCAAAGGTTTCTCTCTGGAATATGGTATTGATTATGAGGAAACATTTGCTCATGTTGCCAAGACGACTACTGTCCGTACTTTGATCTCTGTCGCTGCTATTCGTTCTTGGCCTTTTTATCAGATAGATGTTAAGAATGATTTTCTTAATGGCCATCTCACTGAGGAGGTTTACATGCATCCTCCTCTTAGTCTTCCCCATTCCTCTGGCCAAGTTTGTCATCTTCGGCATGCTCTGTATGGTCTGAAGCAGTCTCATCGTGCTTGGTATGATCGCTTTCAGACTGCTGTTACCGAGCTTGGGTTTCATTTTTCTGCTTCCGACTCTACTTTATTTCTAAGACATAAATCGGCTGATTTTGTTGCTCTCTTACTCTATGTGGATGATATGATCATCACTGGCTCTGACTCTTCTGCTATCTCTGAAGTCAAGCAGCATCTCTTCCACAGCTTCGAAATGAAAGATCTGGGTCCATTACGGTATTTTCTTGGTATTGAGGTTGCTTCTTCTCCAAAGGATTATTTTCTGTCTCAGGCTAAGTATGCTAATGAAGTCATTCACCGTGCCAGTCTTACCGATACTAAGATTCCTGATACACCTATTGAGCTTAATGTGAAGCTTAATTCTACTGATGGTGTCCATCTGGATGATCCTACTTTATATCGCGCGCTTGTGGGTTGATTAGTTTATCTGACAGTCACTCGCCCTGATCTTGCTTATGTTATTCATGTGGTTAGTCAGTTCGTTTCTGCTCCTCACTCTACCCATTGGGCTACTTTGGTTCGCATTCTTCGCTATCTCAGAGGTACCATATTTCAAGGCTTACTATTGTCCTCTACTTCCTCTTTAGACCTGGTGGCCTATGTTAACTCTGATTGGGCTGATGATGTTACTGATCGTAAGTCTACGTCTGGTTTCTGTATGTTTCTTGGTGATTCCTTGATCTCTTGAAAAAGTAAAAAGCAATCAGTAATTGCCCGCTCTACTGTCGAAGCTGAGTATCGTACTATGGCTCATGCCATTGCTGAGATTGTTTGGATTCGTTGTCTTTTGTCTGATTTGGGTGTCTCTCAGTCTTCTCCGACCTCTCTCTATTGTGACAACCACAATACTATTCAGGTTGCCCACAATACGGTCTTCCATGAGCGGACAAAACACGTTGAAATTGATTGTCACTTTGTTCGCCAACATCTGCAGTCTGCCTCTATCTTGCTTCCTTTCATCCCTTCAACTTTGCAAGTTGCAGACTTCTTCACCCAGACTCACACTACTGCTCGGTTTCAGTTTCTTCTTAGCAAACTCTCTGTGTTTTCTGCTACAATACCTTGAGTTTGAACGGGGGTGTGAGAATATATTGTGAAATATATTGTGAGTCTTACAAATTAAACTTAGAGTCCTATTAGAGGCATGATTGTATTAGAGTCATGATAATATTGTATTTGTATTTTCTTTTTGATTTAGGAGTTAGGGCTATATATATTCTAAGGTCTGATTGTAATTGATACACATTGAATATATGAGATACAGAAAGCTATTCAGAAATCTTACAGCATGGTACAATTGATGAAAATTCATGATCAAATTTTTGTTTCCTTGCATGACTTACAAGTTTTCTAAGGAATTTTTCATGAAAAATGAGGTTGTAACTCTCAACTATGTGTTTTATGATTTTAACATGTAACTCAAAGAATTGTGAATTATAGATAAAAAAAAATACTCGACGACTTCCACTTGATATTGAACATTCCGGCGAGTCTCCGGTGAGCGTCAGACGGAAGTCCAGCGGTGGTAGAATGTAGTAGTGTTTTTAAATTTAAAAATAAAAAAAGAGGATTTTTTTTGTAACAACTAAAAATATGTATAACTGATTGGTGCAAGTGTTTTGTTTTGGTACTAGATGGGTTTTAAAATTTGTATATGAGACTTCCTGGTAAGTGCCTCTAAATTAAATTAGCTCATCAGCTGATATAAGGAGGATCGATGAAGGCCCATTCAAACACTTGCTCGTATTGAACTGCAGCGTTATCCCACGTGGAGTCCCTCTTCATTCCTCTCTTCATTAAGCCCTCCCAAGAAGGCTTAAATTCTCTGTAAGTCTGAATTGCAACCTTTAGTGCCTGCAAAAAACAACCATACTGTCTGTCAAATATAGTAAAAAAAACCCAAAAAGAAAACAAAAATCAATCTTTAAAACAATCCCAAACAACTCAACCTGTCATTTTTTTATTTTTTATTTTTGGGTATAAGGTGAGCATTTATGATAAGGAAAGAAACTGAAGGAAAACTCCCTATACAAGGCAATAAAGCCAAAGCACTATAAAGGACCTAGGAGCCTGAACATTGCTCAAAAATGAAAGGAATAGACCATCTATTACAATTAGGAAAATTTAAATTTGAGGCTGCAACAGACCTATATTGAGTGGCCTTTACTCAAACATCATTCTTAATTTGATTAAGAAGTAGGTCAGGGGATCTTTGAAGCCCACCAAAGATCCTAAAGTTTTGTTCTGTATGCTATTGCAGATTTTTTTTTCCACTAAGCTTCACAGCAAGCCAGCTAATCTCCAGCATTCATGGTTGGGGGTTTTAGAGATGAGACACATACTAGAAGCATTACGCCAAACACTCCTAAAATAAAAGCAAGCAAAGAAAAGATGTTGCAAAACTGTCGATGTTATTCGAATAAGAAATGATATTCATCATATCAACAGAAGGTGGCAATCAAAGTCAATTGTCAAGAACACTTCTCCACTTAGTAGCAGGAAGCTCTTACTCGGGTGATGGTTCTTACTCAGAAACGCAATTCCGTGCTCTCAAATAAGAAACTTGCTCTTGTCAAGAAAAAAAACTCGCTCCCAACTAAGATAGAACCTCTTAAACATACAAATCTTACAGAATTAAATATATAAAAATGAGCATAAAAAAAAACTCAAACTTATTCTGGTAGTTTCTATTTACATGGATAGGGCAGTTGGACTAGTGGTCCATGTAGATGTCCTATGGGACAGTGAAGAGGTTCATGGTTCGAGTAGATAGAGCGACTGCGGCTCTTTCATTATAATCTAATTTACTAATCTACCAACATCCTATTAAAAAAAAGTTTTTATTTACATAATATTTATTTGTACTCAACAAAGACAATTTGTAGTTGACATCAATGTCTAAAATTTATTCATATTTTAACATATTACAACTAAGAAAAAAAATAATTGTTCAAATATATTTATAAATTTAATATACAAAATATATACATGCTCCCATAGGCATTTCCAACCTTTGAAACTTCCATATGCCCTTACTCAGTCCACTTTGTGTAACTAAGCTTTTCCATCAGAGCATCATAAATTCCTAGACCAACTTCTCAGGGCTGTAAAATGACAACAGTTGATATGGCACCCAACCAAAAGATGGGGTGAAAGTGGGATGCGGTTTGAGGCTAGTTAAGGAACTCTCTTATAATTTAGTTGGGCACACACACACATCTTCGATAACAAATCACATGTGTTTCAAATCAAAGAAAAATATCAGGCACATATGCATGTATTTATTTTGAACTTTATCAATCAATTAAACATAGTCATCAAACCATGCGGTAGTCAATGTTGCTGAGGAATTTTAAGAATTAACATAGATAGGAAGATACTGTTTTCACCAGAATTTAACTTACCACTAACATACTCTCTCGTGATAAAGGAGAAAAAGTCCACCTGTTGAAAACATTGCACAACAATGTTACGATTAATGAAGGATATGCTATTTAGTACATGTGAAAAGACAAATGATAATGCCAAAGACTTGTTGCTTCCACACCATATTAATTATTAAAATAACATTGCAAGTATCAATTTGGCATTGGCATTGGCATTGGCATTATTGGCACTCCCATGTGAAAATAGGACAGAGAAGATGAAACTTCAACGGTCAAGTTGAAAGTCCACAATTTCAAAAAAATTTCAGAGTTCTCAGAAATCATATTTTTGCTGTTGAGCAGCACTTTATAACCAAAATACACACATATTGTGCATCATAGATTTGAATTTTTCATATCCTTATGTGAGGAGTAACATTAGACTTATTCAAGTTCTGGTAAAAAACAAGTCACTAAGATAATTTCAAAAACTATTTACTAAAAATATGTACATATATATATTATATAAGCAATAAAATAACTTTCTAGGAGCAGCTTGTTTCTGTCTGGGCCTCACCAGATTGGCACCGCAACCATATAGAGTTCCATAAACCGGTCTTATATAAGGTTGCTTTATAAGTAAACAAGTATTAACTAATTAGTTTTATATAAACATTCTACATTAAAAACTGTCTGTTAAAATCACATCACCTACTTCACCCACTAAACCTAACCCACTACACCACTACCACCTCACCTACTCCACTAAACCTAACCCACTACATCCACATACTCTCCACCTACTTCACCCACTTAAACCTACTCCACTAAACCTAACCCACTAAATCCACATACTCTCCACCTACTTCACCCACTTAAACCTACTCCACTAAACCTAACCCACTACACCACTACCACATCACCTACTCCACTAAACCTAACCCACCACCTACTCTCCACCTACTTCACCCACTTAAACCTACTCCACTAAACCTAACCCACCACCTACTCTCCACCTACTTCACCCACTTAAACCTACTCCACTAAACCTAACCCACCACCTACTCTCCACCTACTTCACCCACTTAAACCTACTCCACTAAACCTAACCCACCACCTACTCTCCACCTACTTCACCCACTTAAACCTACTCCACTAAACCTAACCCACTAAATCCACATACTCTCCACCTACTTCACCCACTTAAACCTACTCCACTAAACCTAACCCACTAAATCCACATACTCTCCACCTACTTCACCCACTTAAACCTACTCCACTAAACCTAACCCACTAAATCCACATACTCTCCACCTACTTCACCCACTTAAACCTACTCCACTAAACCTAACCCACTAAATCCACATACTCTCCACCTACTTCACCCACTTAAACCTACTCCACTAAACCTAACCCACTACACCACTACCACCTCACCTACTCCACTAAACCTAACCCACTACACAACTTGATTCCGGTTAGCTCCTTCATGGGTTCGACAAGACTCTGTAAACTGTCCCGACATTGATTCCGGTTAGCTCCTTTATGGGTCCGACAAGACTCTGTAAACTGTCCCGACATTGATTCCGGTTAGCTCCTTTATGGGTCCGACAAGACTCTGTAAACTCTCCCGACATTGATTCCGGTTAGTTTCTACAAGGGTCCAGCAAGACTCTGTAAACTGTCACAACAACTGTCTTCTACAGCGGTCCGACATGACCCCGTAAACTGTCTTCTACAGCGGTCCAACATGACCCCGTAAACTGTCTTCTACAATGGTCCGACATGACCCCGTAAACTGTCTTCTACAGCGGTCCGACATGACCCCGTAAACTGTTTTCTACAACGGTCCGACATGACCCCATAAACTGTCTTCTACATCGGTCTGACACGACCACACAGTGTCTGCTACATCAGTCCGGCATGACCTCGTAAACTGTCCTGCTACATCGGTCCGGTGTGACCTCGTCAACTGTCCAGACTTTATCTGCTCCAACGGTCTGCCACAACCATCCAGTGTCCTCTACAACGTTATGACACAACCATCCCGTCTCCTCTACAACGTTATGACACAACCATCCAGTGTCTTCACCAACGGTCTGACACGACCATACAGTGTCTCCTATCCTCTTTTATTTTTATGTATTTTCTTGTTTTGTTACTCTCTCCAAACTCAAGTTGGTTAGTTCCTATCCCCCTTGAGTTTGCGGGGGGCTGTTAAAATCACATCACCTACTTCACCCACTAAACCTAATCCACTACACCACTACCACCTCACCTACTCCACTAAACCTAACCCACTACACCACTACCACCTCCACTTCACCTACTCCACCTACCACCTCCACTTTACCTACTCCATCTACCACCTACTACCACCTACTCTTCTATATATAGGAATCATTGTAACATTCAATATATCAAAAATTAATAATACAATCAGTATCTATACAATTCTCTATTTCTCTTTACAGTATATTTCTACACTGTCAAACACCCAGTGTTCAAAGTACATACCCAGTGCCTTCACCACTGCTTTCTTGAGCATATGGATTGAAATTCTCTACTGTATCCTGTGACAGATATTGGATAGCAACGGAAACTTAAATATGTATGCAGATATTTAAAAGAAAAAACTTTCATTATCCTGGAAGTAAACTCACTCTAAGTCCTCCAGTGCTATGAACCACAGGTATGGTTCCATATCTCATTGCATACAACTGGTTTAGACCACAAGGTTCAAATCTCGAAGGCATCAATAGTATGTCACAGCTGCACACGTTCAAAGTTCAATCGGTCAGCTTCAAAGTATTCATTGGATTAGTCAAAATATAAAATATGGAGTCTCGGATTACCCTGCTGTTATTCTATGAGAAATGGGAACATTAAATCCAACCCAACCCCTGAATTTGTCTTTATAATATGACTCCGTTACTCTCATCCAATCTTCATATTGTTTTTCCCCAGATCCAAGCATTACCTGAAATAAATTAGATCTATTGAATATACTCGGAGAAAATTTGGGAATTATCTACACATCTCATGCCCACCTACAGAGGTTTCAGCCTTTCAGCAAATATGAATTTAGGGCATTTACACACTTCCTAATTTATAAACTTATACAACATTAAGTCTTAATTAAGATTTTTGAAACCTTTAAGTTCCATAAAATTTTTAATAATTGGAATTGCCCTTCAAACAATGATTGTTCATCAATTATGATTATCTATAAACATGATGATTTAACATTTATTTTAATTTTCAAAACTTTAAAATATCAACTTTCAAACTGAAAAAAACTAAAAAAAAAAAATTATATACAAAAAAACAAACTAATGTTTTTTTTTTTTTTGAAAAAACTGAATTATTTGTTTGTGCAAAAATAAAAATTGTGTCTATAAAGGAGCATGATTATGGAACATTGATGTGCAAAAAAAAAAAAAAAAAACTTCAAAAATGAAAAATTGATAATGTTCTCAGTTTTAAAAATAGAAAAAAAATTGATAATCTTCTCGATTTTATCGGATAGTTGAATCAAACCAATAAGTAGAAGGACAAAAACCTTTAATCTCATACTTTTTTTTTTTTCATCAATTAATAAAATTATTATCTGAAACATTACTGTGCAAAATTGATAATATTCTTAGTTTTAAAAATTGGGAAAAACAGATAATATTCTCAATTTTACTAAATAGGACTTATTGGTTCAAAAAATCTTAAATAAGACCTCAGCTACCATAACATTTGTAAAAAGGACTTTTAAGTAATTAACTCATAAATTTATGACTTGTATCAAATGAAGATAATCCAACTCAGGCATTTCCCTCGAAATAGTAAACTGGACAGAATTCCTGTGTTGATGATATTAAATACTTGTGTCACGTTGTCTCTCTTTTAGCTTAAGTTTCTTGAGCAGCAATCCATTGTTAATATTCAAGATTTTAATAATGGCAAAGATAAACTCAAACTTTTAAAGAGGGAAGAGGGAAGAACTTGCACTGAAATATTGTGTGCTATATTATATGCTACTCTTTGTTGAAGTTGTTCAAACTACACACTCAAACAAATAAAGTAACAGAGTTATGTCAGATAAAATACTTACAAACTGGACATCCTCATCCATAAGTTCTGGAGTTGCTGATAGAATTATATCAATGCCTTTTTGGTAGTCCAGTCTCCCAATAAATCCAATCTATACAAGGTCATAACCAAATCAGAAAGAGGACAGAAGTTCAAATCATTACTATGTCCTTAGGATTTCCTCTCACCAATGGACAATCAGGGTCAATGGGAAGGCCTAATTCCTTTTGCAAAGCAATCTTGCATTCAACCTGCATATTATAAATAATTGGGGTAAGACAGCAATAATTCCAAAAAATAAAAATATATAAATAAACAAATAAATCTAGAAGCAGAAGGCCACCTTTCCGGAGAGATCATGAATGGAGTAATGTGAAGGAATATGCTTATCCAGAGATGGGTTCCATTCTGTATCATCTACGCCATTTGTGATCCCTGTTAATAACCACAACATTAGTTTGAATAGTTTGACTAAGAGAACAAAAATTGGTCCATATGCAACATGTAGAACTATTACCAAGGATATTATATAATCTGTATTACCCCGAAAAATCCTATAAAAACTAACATATGAACCCATAAATATGTGACATTGAATTCTCTTCAACAAAATTCTTATAAAGAAGAATTTCTGGAACAAATTGGACTACAAATATGCCGACTATTTCTAAACATGTAAACTCGAAATCTTAAAGCTCAATGAAAATGTAAACCCCAGACATCACTGGACAGGTTCCTGTTGGGAATTAGTAACAAAATAAATATCAGGACCTCTCTACCACTGATTCTTTTCCAAAGACAGCTAATAGTAATTAACCCAAAAATAGTGAATATATACAAACACTTCTAAAGATTTAAGCAACCAAAATAATTTTCCTGTGACAATTGTAAAAAACGAGTCTTCCAAGTAAATCCTCTCCAAGCCTTGTAGCTTTTAAAATTGAAAAAAAAGAAAAAAAAAGAAGGGTTGAGCCAGTGCACAAGGCTTCTGCTTTAGCAGAGTTTGCGGAGGGCAAGATGTACACAGCGTTACCTCTATTTCTAGAAAAGTTGTTTCCATGATACAAACCCACACCACCAAGGACACTAACGGCAAGTCTTACTGTTTGACCAAGCCACCATTACCATGATCTAAATTTCATATTATTCATAGTCATTGATCAAATGCAATACAAATAATTAATTAATATAATCTAAAATCACCGTGATGGTACAGGAAGCAATGAGCAATCCATAGTTAACAAGGGAAAGCAATTGAATTACGTAAAAAGAGGTATCCTCCAAATTGACCTCATTATAGGATAATCATTGCAGGCAGGAACTACTACAAAAGACTCTGCAGTGCACTGTACTGACAATTTGATAAAATGACCAAACTATTCATAAAGTCATTGAATGGAGAAGAAAAACAGCCAAAAGAGTTCCATTAACATGAAACTCTCTCAACTATTAATTACTCTCACCCAACAAAGTACTCAACAAAAGTAGTGATCAACAAAAGATGAAAGGCATACCGTTCAAGACACTCTTTCGACTACTTAAGAGCTAGCCACCTTCAACAGTTGTTATTTCCCAAGAATATCCCTGCCACCACAATATAAAATTTCAACATTGAGAATTGTTGGAGATGATGAAATATAAGGCAATTGTCTGGTAGGAACAGTGTCAATGAATTGACACCATGGCAGCACATTTTTTTCTCATTAACACTTTTGGATTTGGAATTTCTCACAAACAATATAAAAGTTGCTGATAATTGATCACTAAGCCCTTGTTGTTGATCACCAGACAATACCTGATATTTCATCAAATGAGACATTTTCGAGAAGAAACGTGATATGTAACATTTATGACCTTGCTAACTGTCAGAATTCGATCAGCTGTCACAATCGCACCTTTCAAAGGATTTACAGCTTCACCAGTGTCAAGGGCATGTGTTCTTGCCCATGTCGGAAATACCCATTCCAACGCTCCGTACCACTCAGGAGGCAAACCCAAATTCTTGTAGGTTATTGCAGGTTCCACCCCCTTGCATATAAAAGAACAATAATGTGCTAAAATATCACTGTGGCTTTATACTTCTTGAATATCAAAATCTGAAATTGTTACAGTTTCTGATTGAAGGCAGTTTATAGTTGGCATTGCCAAAGGTGTAGCCCCCCCTCATGCATGCACTTCATGAATTTTTGTCATCCACAATCTTGCTATGATAATTGCAAGAAAAACTAATCGCAATCTTATACATGTCTTCAGCACATATTCATATTAGCACACCTGCATGTCTGCTAAGAAGCATGGACATGGATACGGACACAGACACACCAACATGGAAATTTCTAAAATAAGTAGGACACGATAAATGTGGGACACGTGCAAAATATATAATATATAAGATTTATTATATGTCATATATGAGGGTAAATAATTATTATATATCATATATAAATATTAAAGTCAAGATTTTTTAAAATCTTAAGGAGGATAATATGTATAAATTTACATTTTTTTTTTTATCATTGGATTCCAAATTATTTTATTTAAATTTGTAATGTGTTTCGTACGTGTCTTAAGTGTTGAAAGTGTCCGACAAGTGTCATGTCATGTTAGGGTCAAACATGGTGTTGGACACGACACATTACCTTCTTAGACGTGTCTGTGCTGCTTAGCATGTTTGTCAAAGCCCATCATGGTTGTGATGTGATTCTGAAATTTCCTGTATGCTTCAGACATGCAATTGTGGATCCACAATTTCAATTTCCTCACAATGCTCAAATTCTTCACTTTTGTTTTTTCTGTATAGAGTTAAGCTGAAGAGATGTACACACTGCTACAAGGACTTGAGTATTACAAGAAATTATCTGTGTGTTGTATATTTTTTAAGGATTTCCTGTTTATTGTGCTTTTTAAACAATTTAGATTGAATTAAGCAAAAGGCATCTACCTGATGTGCTAGGTTATGTATTACAAGGATGCTCCGAGCATCCTTATAAACTCCATATGGGCGATACTTGGCAGCCAAAAGTCTGAGACAAAACATTTGAAGATCAATTATCACACCAATATCAAAGAAAGCTAAGTGATAATATCTATAGATCCAAGGGAATAGATAAGAAAGAATATGTAATAAAGAAATGAGGTTCAGCTGAATCCAACAGCAATCCCTTCCTATTCAAACCAACCAATTTACTATCTACCGTTGGATTGACAAGAGATCAAAAAACAACGCACGGCTTTTGGCAAATTATTGGTCCAGCGTAGTACATGTCTCTACCTTGGTCACTCAGAACAGAAAAAAGTAAGGAAGAAAGAAAAAGTCTTCACTTTGATCTACCCTAGAATCACTAGCGTTTTCTTGAATCCACAAAGAAGAAAAGAGGGAAACTCGCATAGATTTTGCTAGTCCAAAAGTCAAACCCCCTTAGCCATATGTAATACAATAACATTAACACTGTGTTTGGGAACCTAGGAGAGAAAAGAAAAGAATGATTAGTTAAGTAATAAGAGAAAAGAAAAGAAAAGAAATGATTATAATTTCTCTCATTTTTGTTTGGATAAGGAAGAAATAAAAGAAAAGAAATGATTATGATTTCTCTCATTCTTGTTTAGTTAGATTTCATTAAGAGAAAAGAAAAGAAAAGAAATTATTTTATATTATATTACCAAAATAACCTTTTTATATTTTTAATCATTTTGTTTCTTTTATTTTTATAGGGACAAAATTGGTATTATGAAAATAGTGGTTTCTTTTCTCTTCCAATCTCTCCACTTTTGGGAAGACTGAAAATGAGACTTATAAGAGAAATGCGTTTCTCTCTATTTCTCTTAATTTCTTCCCATTTCTCTCCACTTAAGTTATCCAAACAAGTAAGAAAAATGTATATCTCTCCATTTCTTTTCTTTTCTCTCCAAATCACTCAATCCAAACATAGCATAAGTTCCTATCTAACCCTAGCAAGTTGCTATTCAAATCAAGATTTATCCATCTTAAGCCTATCGTGATCTAAAAAACATCATTAACAAAATCCCATGAAGATTACTATTTTCAGAGGGAATACAGTTAACTACCCAGCTGATGACTAACGGGTCACATCCACAAGGAAACAGGGAGTTCCTATTTCTTCAAAACCATTGTCTTCCAAACACAAAAGAAACATAAATATTCCAGGTGAACATGAGTAAAATACTAGAGTAAAATTCACGTAGTAGAGAAAGATGGCGGAGCATGATGTGATAAATTCATAAACAAAAAAATCTAAAATAATGTGTAGGAATTCTCAAAAATAAAAATCACCCATATAAAGGACTGGAAGAATGAAAATCAAATTATAGTATGAAGAAGTGCATGAACAATCAATGGAGTGAAAGGAAACATATAAACAAACAGTGGAGAAATGGATGACTGGCAAACAAATCACATACACTGGCACAAGGCCTGCATGCCAATCGTTAACAATGAACAAACATTTCTCTCCATAAGTGAACCCTCCCAATGGAAGCACCAAGGGAGCTTCACACGCTGCATGACAAAGTAAACTGAACCGGAACTGCTTAACCCAAAAAAATAAAAAAAATAAAAAAATAAAAAAAAAAAGAGGAAAGGGAAGAAGAAGAAGAAGAAGAAGAAGATAAGAAAAGAAAAAGTTGTTAATAATTACAATAACTTTACTATTAGTTTATTAAATTCAACTCAGTAACATGCATATTCATATAGTGTACCTGATTATCACCAAAAGCACCATAAATATCACCATATGGATTTCCAGGACGGTGGTATGAAGGGTGGTCCACAAAGACCTAAAAGAAGGGGGGGAAATGATAACAAAGAGTCTGAGTAGTCTATGAAAAATACTACAGAATGATGTAGCTATTTGAAGTCAGAAAACGTAATTAGACAAAGGCTATAAAAAATAAGTTGATGAATTAGAAAATAAGAATAGTATGAATCTCGATGTAGATGAGCAGCATGAAAAAGTACTCTTACCCAATCAACACCCGCCCTATACTCATGGAAGAACGCAACCTCCTGAGCCCCTCCAAAGCAATATACCTTGATGCCGCAACCAACATCAGATGCACCAGAAAAGTTCTTATCTGATGGGCCACCATGCAAATATCTAGGAGAGATTACCATTACACGATGTCCACGAGCAGCAAGTGCTATTGGTAAAGAACCACAAACATCACCTAGGCCTCCTGTCTTTGAATAAGGTGCCGCTTCAGCAGTAACAAAAATAATATTATGGGTTACTCTGGTTGGGATTTTCTCTTCTCTTTCAATGTCTTCAGTTACTTCTTCTCCATCAGTACCTAGCTTGTCCAGAGTGCTAATAGCTTTGCTGTCTCCTGCAGCTTGAGTTCATAATATTTGTCATCGGGAAAAAACAAAACTACCATACTCAAAAAATTGAGTGAGTGAGTGAGTACTTAACAGCACTGATGTTTTGATTTCATGATTTGGAGACTAACATCAATGAAAGTTCTTGAGAAAAATAAGACTGAGAATGCCAAAGTTTAACAAAATTCAGCATATAATTCAGTATCTAGAAAGAAAAATTCAGATTTATTTAAGTGACAAATAGCGATAGATCATGGATGATCAAATAGTTAGTGATAATAAAATTAAAAAGATGAGTGTATATAATATATATTTATATATATGTAGAATATTTTAGAAACATAAGTTCACTTACCAAGTAATTGCCAAATAATTAAATTATTTAGTAACTTTAAATTTGTATGCCTCAAAAGAAGAAGTCTCACTTAACCTGGTCATTTTCCCATAAAGGGCGGACTTAGTGATGCAAGTATCATGCATGGAAAGTTTGGAAAATTCTATAGGAGGAAACTGGATTCAAATGCTAACATTGTTATTTGGCACAATTTTTACTTACATCTTGCTTAGAATAAGTATTTTTAATTTCTATTGATGTTTGAAGTTTTTTTAGGAGGGAGGGGGGAAAAAAAAGAAAAAAAAAAGAGTCGTGCAGCTTCATAATTTTGTGTTTTGGAATCTAAAGTGGGTTACCAATATGGCCGATTTTCTTAGTTTTAGCCTTTGTCTTGGTCTTTTCCTTGGGCCACAAAAATTACTCAACCACCAAGTTTACTTGGTCTCCAATTTCTCTTGGCTACCAAGTTGACCCCTTGTGTGTGCGTGTGTGTGTGATGTGTTCATTAAGTGGATGATGAATGGAGACATCATTTGCCTATTATTTGTGATATGTGATGCATCTTTTCTTGGGTGTGATTTGCCTAAGAATCTAGATTTGAGTGCCTGGAATTTTTGCCCTCCTTTTCTTCATTCTCTGTTCTCTTTTATTCTCTCTTATTTTCCTTAGCAACAACAGTGCTTCTTGCTAGATTTGCCTTTAACCTCCTATAAAACTCACCATTTTGCCTTTTAATCCATAACCTAAAACCCCAAAACTAAGTTTTAACCTTGCTTTGGTGCAGAAAATTAAAAAGATCATCCATCGCTTACACATGATAGTGCCACCCCAGCTACTAATAAAGGTACTAACAATTGCCCCAAATGAGCTCATCACAATCATTTACCCAACCTTCTATGGCTAAGATCATTAACAAATCTTATTTTGCCTTTTAATCCATAACCTAAAACCCCAAAACTAAGTTTTAACCTTACTTTGGTGCAGAAAATTAAAAAGAGCATCCATCACTTACACATGATAGTGCCACCCCAGCTACTAATAAAAGTACTTACAATTGGCCCAAATGAGCTCATCACAATCATTTACCCAACCTTCTATGGTTAAGATCATTAACAAATCTTATTTTTCTTTTCATTATTTGATAAGCCATCAGGTTTGAACTTTCACTTCAGGTTCGAACTACGGCATTGGCTTCATAGTCATAGGGCCAGCCCAAGATAAACCATCAGGTTCGAACTACGGCATTTGCTTCATAGTCCATAGGGCCGGCCCAAGATAAGCCATAAGGTTTGAACTATACCATTCACTTCATAGTCCATGGGGCAAGCCCAACACTCTTGGAGGCCTAAAGCAAAATCTAAATGAGGCCTTTTTATATTTGTATATTAATTTAATTAATATTTATTTTTTTTTTTAACATTGGAACAGTTTTTTTTTTTATTTAAAAGCCCTTTTTCTTATATATCGATTCTTGTAATTAAGATGAGTTACATGGACTCTATGTATTAGGTTTTATTTTGTTAGATCTTTAGATAAGATTTTTTTTTTTCTTGAACCTTTGGGCAGAGAATGTGTTGAATTATAATATGTTGAATTAGGAAATTAGAATATTTTGTTTATAGTAGTATGTATAAAATGCATGAATGTATGAATCACGGATTTAGTGCCTGATAGTTTCATTTCCTTGTTTGTAATATGAATTCATTATATATACATGCCTCTACCCCATTCAAAGGTAAGCCAATACAATTATTTTCATTCTTCTTGGTATGAGAGCCAGAGCCCTGGCCTCCCTTTCTCCCTCCCTCTGTGTCGGCAGCAACCAGCCACCACCCACAGGTCATCCCCTTCAGCCAAAAGTTCTTCCTAGCCCTCACCCATCAGTTGGCAGCCCCTCTTTCTTCATCCTTGTCCCTCGGCAGCCCCCAGAACCACCTGCTGAGGGTTCTTTACTAGTCATACAGGCCTTATGTGAGTGGGTCTGGTTCGGTTACTTCCCTAGGGTGTATTTCACCCTTTTTTCCCTTCTTGGGTGCTAGGTGCTGAATGTATTAAACACTTTTTTTGGTTCTTTTCATTCAGTAGACTACCAGGTTTGTTCGGTAGCATTTATTTGGATATGCCGTTGATTTTTTCCGGCGTCTCGAGTTTTATTTGGACTGTATTGCGGTGTTGCTGTGCATTTTTCAACCCTCAACATCCCACCATGACTGATGAGTCTCCTCGGACCCCTAAGCAAAATGGTGTTGCTGGAGATAAAAACTGTCATATTATGTCTGTTGTGCGGTGTCTCCTTCGAGGTATGAATGTCCCCAAGTCTTATTGGCATATGATTGTCCTCACAGCTGTGTATCTGATAGGACACCTAGTCGTGTGTTATATGGTCTTACTCTGTTTCATGTCCTTATGCCCAACACCACTCTATTTCCTCTCCTACCACGTGTCTTTGGGTGTACCTATTTTGTTCAAGATCGGCATCCCTCTCGTACTAAGTTAGATGACAAGCCATTGTGTCTTCTTAGGGTATTCTTCCATGTCCAAAGGATATAAATGTTTTGATCCTATGTCTCGTCACTTTCACCACACTTTGGATGTTACTTTTTGTAAGGATCTTTCTTTTTTGGTACTAACCCTCGTTTGCAAGCTTCCACTCCTATTACTTCCAGTGTTCACCCAGTTCCAATTTTGGATGAGATTACAAATAAGGTTGTTCCTATTCCTCATTTTCTACCTCCCCCCAAATTGCAGGTATACTCTCATCGCCCACGCTCTCAGTTGTCCCTTGCCACCTCTCCGATCTCTAGGTCAAGTAACTCTTCTCCTGTAGCTACATCTCCTCCACCTCCTCATCGTAACCAACCTCGAGATCGGCATCCTCCAGATCGATGGGGTTATTTGAGTAGTACTAATCATCACATTTCCCAGTATCTTTCCTATGACAAGGTTTCCAATTCTTATCGCTCTTTCCTTAGCAAGCTTGAATCAAAATCTATTCCTTGTTTTGTGTCAGAAGCCCTTCAAAATCCAAAATGGGTGGAGGCTATGCAGACTGAGATGGCAGCGTTAGAACAAAATCACATTTGGGATCTTGTACCTTTACCTCTTGGGGGAAGCACTATTTGTTGTAAATGGGTGTTCACTACAAAGTACCTCGCTGATGGCTCAGTTAACTGTTACAAAGCCCGCCCAGTAGCCAAGGGTTTCACACAGATTCCTGGCCAAGAATTTTGGAGCCACTTTTGCCCCTGCCGACCAGCTTACTTCTATGCGTCTCTTTATCTCCCTTGAAGTATCATATTTTTGGCCTCTTCAACAGCTTAATGTCAAGAATGTGTTTCTTCATGGGGACCTTCTTGAGACGATTTACATGGCTCCTCCACTTGATTTTCAAGCTGAAGGGGAGTATTCAAGAAAGGTTTGTCGGTTACTCAAATCTTTGTATGGTCCGAAACAATCTCCACAAGCATGGTTTGGTTGCTTCAATTATGTCATCTCCATGGGCTTTGTTCAGTGCCACTCAGCTCATACTTGTTTCATCCACCGTAATTCTATGGATCAGTGTATCATCTTGTTGATCTATGTGGATGACATTATCTCACAAGCGATGACTCTGTCAGCATTGGTCAAGTAAAGAAGAACTTAGGCCAAACTTTTGATATCAAGGATATAGGATGTCTCAAATATTTTTCAAGAATTGAGGTGGCTCACTCAAGACAAGGGAATTTCTTTATCTCAAAGGAAGTACACTCTTGACTTGCTTAAGGATACTGGTATATTAGGGTGTAAATCTGCTTCTACTCCTACAAATCCTAATGTCAAGCTCACATTTGAGTCAGGGAAGTTGCTGGATGACCTAGGCATGTATCAGCATCTTGTTGGACGCCTCATTTATTTGATCAACACTAGACCTGACTTGATATTTGCCGTTAGTGTTGTGAGTCAGTTTATGCATGCACCCCGTATAGAGCACTTTGATGCGGTTCACCACATTTTGAGGTATTTGAACACTTTCCTAGCTTGGGATTGTTCTTTACAGACGGTTCTCAATCTGGGCTCTCATGTTTCACTGATACTGACTATGCAGGATCTAGGAGTGATTTCTAGGTCTTATATTATGGAAAAGTAAGAAGCAGGCAGTTAGTTCTAGGTCTTCTGTAGAGATTGAGTATCAGGCTATAGCACAAGGAACATGTGAGATTCTATGGCTTCGCTTTATTCTAGCATAGTCGGATTTTGAGGAGACTGCTCCTTCGTTTTTGTTTTATGACAACAAATCTGCTATTTTGTTATCCTCTGATTCTGTACTTCATGAGCGTACCAAACATATCGAGGTTGATATACATTTTATTAGAGAAAAGGCTTGGACTGGTATATTGAGTCCATTATTTGTCTCTTCTTCTTAGCAGTTAGCAGACATATTCACAAAGTTTGTGGGATCGACTTTGCTCCAGTCATCCATTGCCAAGCTGTGTTTGTTGAATGTCTTTACGCTAGCTGGAGGGGGAGTGTTGAATTAGAATATGTTGAATTAGGAAATTAGAATATTTTGTTTATAGTAGAATGTATAAAAATTCGTGATTGTATGAATCACAGATTTAGTGTCTTGATAGTTTTATTTCCTTGTTTGTAATATGAATTCATTATATATACATGGCTCTACCTCATTTAAAGGTAAGCCAA